CCCACCACATAGCATTGCCGTGAGGATTATATGAGCCGAGTCATGCGAAACGACACTCTGTGCCTGGCGCATTGTGATGCTGAGGGAAATCATCTTGCACTTGTGCGATGTTTTTCAGTTTATTCAGATAGTGCTTTTATGTATCATTTCACCTGAGGTTCACAGTAATGTAACAATAAGTTACTTGTTGAGGATTTACAAATGACCCCCGGTGATGGCTATTACTATTTGTATGGGACAATTTGGCAGATGAAACACTGAGAAAGAAACTTGACCAAGGACTCAAACTACTAACAAACAAACAAAACACCAGAAATGACTTTTATGCAGCACTGTTACTTGAAGCCAAGTCTGCCTGTCCCAAAGCCCTGCTCTTGGACTATGTGTTGGTTCTATTTTCATCCATCCATCCAGCAAATACTTAGTGAGTGCCTGTGTGTGCCAGGCAGTGGCCGGATACTAGAAATACAGTAAAGAACAAAGCTGACAAAATCACTGCCTTTATGTAGTTTGCATTTTAGTTGGAGAGACAGACAACACACAAAGTATATTAGATGGTCAGAGATGCTGTGGAGAGATGAATCCGGAAAGAAGAGCAGGGGTGGAGAGAGGGGTCGTTTTGAACGGGCTGGTCAGGGAGGGACTTGCCTGAATCTCGTGTGCTTGGGGGAGGATATCAGGCCCAGGGAACAGCGACCCCGGAGCGGGGAGAGCTGGGCCAGGAAGCGAGCCAGCCAACAGAGCCAGAGCTGAGTGTGACAGGGCTGGGAAGTGCAGAGTGTGTTTGCGGTGGGGGTGGGGGGCCCATCTTCAGGGTCTTGGCCTTTCTCCTCCGGATGGTTTGGAGTGGTGGAGTGACAAGATGGCTCTAGCTATTTTGGGGAGAATCACAGCTAGCGGGGAGGGGCTGCTGGGGTGACCTGGCTGGAGAGATGGGAGAGCAGTGAGAACAAGCCAGATTCTGCACCTGTTTTCAAGGGGAGTCAGGATTTGCTGATGAGCTGGACGTGGGATGTGCGAGGCAGAAGAAAAAGAATGACCTCTGAATAGATAAAAACGTGTAAACTTACTCCCATTTTACAGACGGGAAAACTGAGGTTGGAAGAGGATAAGCACCTGGCGCCAAGGTCATTTAGCTAGAAAGTCAGTAAAGCTAGGGTATTTGCCCAGGTGTTTTTACTCCACGTTCCTTAGGCTTTCACCGCAGGCCTCCTGCCCTACCTCACTTACCCACTGGAAGACTAAGTCAGCTGAGCCCACACAGCCCCTAGAACCGTCTTGTTTCTATAATGATTAGTAAACATTAATCCACATTGTGGAAATCTTTCTCATGGTGCAGCTCAACCAGAGATAGTTTTCTAAGTGTTTATGAAAGCAACTCAGATCATTCAGTAGATGAAAATTTCCAGACAGATTTATGCCACTACCTCTTGTGGAGGTTTAGCATTTTTTCAGTGGAATCCCTTTCTCAGACTCCTGTAAATTGTGAGTTTGTGCGTTATCACCCCTGGCTTCTTTCCCCCCTTACGGATTTTCATAGCAACAGCCAGATCAGATGGTAAAGACTTCTCCCTGGAAAATGGTGTTCACTGGGTGTTTGAGGAAAAAAGTGTCATTTTCAGGGCTTTGTTGTAGACAGGAGGCCCAGGTACCTTTCTTTTCTTGCGTTTCCCTCCTTTTGGCTCAGTAGCCATGGCTGAAAAATGATAGGACGCATGCCATCGGTGCCAGGTTGTGCCAGATCAGTGTTGGCTAACGCAGGAGCAGAAGGACATTTCAGCCGTTGGTGGGGTAGCTGTTGGGCCTGGTAGTCTAGCAGCCGCTCCAAGGCCTCCGGTGGTTTAGTGGGGTTTTTTTGGTTTTGGTTTTTGGTTTTTGTAGTCTAATAAGAAAGACTCATGCATGTACAAAGTTTATATTTGCTTCCTCAGGACTTTCTCCCTCCACCCCTTTCCCCCAAGTACACCAGGAAAGTGCCCTAGACTGGGTGACCTCATGTTCTCTGCCTGCAAGCACTCTGACCACAGCATAGGAGGCCGAAGTACCAGACGGTATCCAGGCTCCTACACAGCTCCCGCACACTTCTCAGACAACGTGGCCTTTCTCCAGGGCCCCACTCAAGTCCCCCCCCGCGCTGGGCAACAGACACACCTCCAGCATTGCACTCCAGAGGGATGCCCTGCTGTGTGGCATCACCTTCCACTGGGGACGGACACACACTCGGGTGCACACGCACGCCCGCAGTTGGCTCCTCGCTGGCCACTTGCCTGCACTCCCCTCGTCTGGACTACCTGCGCTGCCATGGCCAGGCGCTGCCTCTCTTCCATGGTGAATCAAACAACAAGTAGGCGTCTGCCAGGCATTGCCAAAGGTCTGGAGAGCTTCCATCTGCTTCTAGGCTTTGTGGTCAGCCCCAGGGACATTCCTCCCCTGCATCTGTTCATCCTTGAGGCAGCTCACTTGTATGTAACCCTCTCAGATACAGGCCCTGATCTTCCCTGAATGAGACCGAAGAGACAGAGGGTTAGTTGGAGAGACTGGTACCGAGGTGCCGCACCAGGGAATGGCGAGGGGAACTGAAATTCAAGGATGTTGTTTGTGCAGGTCAAGCTGACAGCAGAGCAATAGAGGATGAAGTCAATGATGACTCGGAAAATCCCAAGTTACTGGTAGAATTAACAAGAAAGCAAAGTCAAAGAAGATAGTGTGAAGACGCTGGGTGGCTCAGTCAGTTAAGCCTCTGCCTTTGGCTTGAGTCACGATCCCAGGGTCCTGGGATCAGATCCCGCCATCAGGTTCCTTGCTCAGCGGGGAGCCTGCTTCTCCCTCTGCCTGCCACTCCCCCTGTTTGTGCTCTCTCTCTCTCTGACAAATAAATAAATAAAATCTTAATAAAAAAATATTTGTAAAACAAAAAAAGAGGCCAGCGTGGTGGAAAAGGATGAAGGCTGGTCTGAGATCGCAGTGGGAGAGTGCTCTCTGCTCTTGGCTTTTGCAAGGACTTGCAAATCTGGATTTCTAGTAACTACCCTCAGGGGACAGGTCTTCTTTCTCAACTAAACTTTTCTGTTTAATGAGATATTTCTATTCCTTATTTTGTACTAAGTCCTCAAAATCTGACATGCCTTTTACATTTGCAGCCCATCCCATCTGGACGAGCTGCATTGCAGGTAGTCCACAGACCCGTCCAGCCCCAGACCATGGCCCCAAGCTCTGCATACCAGGCCCCATGGCTTCCCTCCTGTCACTTCAGCCAGGCTGCTGTCGTGAACAACGTTTTAAAAGAAACACAGTCTGGGGGCACCTGGGTGGCTCAGTTGGTTAAGTGTCCGACTCTGGATTTTGGCTCAGGTCACGATCTCAGGGTCATGAGATGGAGCCCCACCTCGGGCTCTCTGCTGGGCATGGAGCCGCTTAAGATTCTCTGCCTCCCTCGCCCTCTGCCCCTCCCCCCACTCCATTTGCACACACACACTCTCTCAAAAAAATTAAAAATAAAAAAAACCGAGCCTAAAATTCTTACACTAAAACAATGATAACTATTGACAAAGATTTGCAACAATGGGCGGTGATCAACACCATGAAAATTAGCTCTAGGATCATATTACATGTGTCAGATTCTTAAGTTTTCCTCACCGCGCATGGAGAGGACTACAATTATGATGATGAATTCAGGCCAAGTAAAGGAAACTCGGGAGATACAGGGAGTACCTCCAGCTCCTCCCTCATCCGACTGTGGCAGAGTCCTTCTCTAGCCCGGCTCCCACCGTATGCGCTGCCATCATCACAAAACCCTCTTTTAGTGAGTCCCAACCATGAATCAAAGATGCTAGGAACTTGACACACACCACCACCTCATTCTCCAAAGAGAAAGAAAATAGTTTGTACAACAGAAGGAGGAAGCTCAGAGAGAGGAAGTTGCTGGGTCCCATGCCTGTAGAGGGGCAGGGCTAGAATTCAGACCAGGCTCTGGGACTCTCAGACCTGTTCTATAGTGTTAGGGGGCCTGTCTTCAAAACCTGTTGCCTCCTACTCAGAATCCTGAAGGAGCTGCCCCACTGCTCACTGTAGATCCTTGAGGCACCCCACCACCCACTTTACTTTTCAAGTCTCATCTTCTATTAGATGGATGGGTGTCCATATACCGTGTGCTTCAGATTGAGCCACATTTTGTTCTCAATCAAGAGCCATCTGAAGTATCTTAACAAACCATCTACTACCACGAAGCCTTCCTCTGTCTTCTGCACAAGGAATGTTCTCTTTCTCTTTATAATTCCCTCTGCTGGATGACAGGTTAGCCTTGGTGAGAGTAGCCCACTGTCCCAGGAAGAAGAGAAATCTGAATGCCAAGGTGGGCAGTCCAGAATGTTGTGCCCATCCTTAAAAGATCTTCTCTCCTTTTTGGCAAAGGTGCTATCTCATTCCTAACCCTGGTATCGTAAGTTCCAACCTTTTCATGTTATGGACACCTGGAAAGAATGACTACATGTTTCCACTCAGGACACTATCAACACCTTTTGATTTTAGTAGCACCACTGCCTGGCAGGTGAAAGATGGAAGCCAAACACTTTTTAAAAATGATTATATTTTCATTTCTTTATCTCCTCAAGCTTACCAACACAGGACTTAGAAATATCTGCGTTTTATATATTTTTTTATATATTTTATGTCCACTGTGGAGCACAAATTGCCAGCCAGATCACGCATAGTTTACTCAGTATCCTAAGTGACAAAATAATGCTGTGTGTTAACATCAGCAGTCTTCTCTGAAGTGCTCTCCTTCCCGCTCACTGTAACACTCGACCCCGGCTCCGCGCACGACTGCTACCTTTGGATTGATAGATCTGTAGGAGTTTTCTAAAGATGTCTTATTCTGGGTGCGACACAAATGATTGCTTCCCCTTGGGGGCATGTTCTCAAAGTTCATTTATTTTGTCATTAAAATATTTTTTTTGTTAGCTGTGTCCTTTTAACGATAACCCATGCCATTTCTTTTTTAGTCTCTTCAGATGGAGGTGCAGAGTCTGCGGCCTTAGTGGATGACAATGGCAGTGAGGAGGACTATAGCTATGAAGACCTATGCCAGGCCAACCCCAGATACCTACAGCCGGGTGGGGAGCAGCTGGCCATCAACGAGGTACTGGGGTCACACTCAACAGTGGCGAGCCTTGGATGCCCCATTTTCAGGGGGCAGAATCACTTCAGACTCTGCCTTCTTGGTTCTTCTTTTCCTCTCTCTCTCTTTTTTAAAAAAAGATTTACTTATTACGGAGCGAGCGAGTGCGAGTAGGGGATGGGGCAGCAGGAGAGAATCTCAAGCAGTCTCCCCGCTGAGCATAGAGCCCAACATGGGGCTCAATCCCATATCCCTGGGATCATGACCTGAGTCGAAATCAGGAGCCGGACGCCTGGCTGACTGAACTACCCAGTGGCGCCCGCCCCTTGATTATTTCTTACCAAACATATTCTAAAACCTAGGACTCTGACCTTCTAGCATTTCCGAGGACCGTTTAAGTTTTCCACATAACTAAAGCTCGCTCACCACTCTACGTAATGAGGGCAGCGACTGCTGCTTGGTGTTTGGGGAGTGCTTTTCAATTTACAAAATGCCGTTCCTAACATTATCTCAGAAAGATCTCACAGCCAATCTAAGAGGTAGATGTTACAATTGCAGTTATTACCCGTATTTTAATAAACATTCTGAAACTAAGTGGCTGTGTCATTTGCTAGTAAATGGCAGAGCTGAAATTAACCACAGATTTCTCACTACAAATCTGGTGTTCTTTCCACCACTGTGCATCTTCAGCCCTTTTTATGGAAATCTTTCCAGAAGGCACTTACTAGCTTTCAGAGTTCTTGAATAGAGCATGTGGTGTGTCAGTTCTCAGTGAGTTAGCATCTCCGTTAGTAATACCAGTTGTTGCTGTAGAATATGATGATGTCCCGGGGTGCTGAGGGGACCTGCAGCCATCCACCCCTGTGGCTGACTGACAGGTGAGTTGTGTCTGTCCTTTCCTTTTTAAAGTAGCTGTTAAATATCTGTAGATCAGGCTGTGTTCCCTTTAACGGCTGTAGGCTATAAAGTTAGATTAAAAGTTTATTCAGACTGTGATTGAAGTCTGAAGAGTAAGTTCTAGGGGAAGTCGTGAGGGTCTTGCAATAAAGTATGTGCATAATCATTAGAGGTCTGGCTCCATGTTGTCTGCTCAGAAACCGTTTTGGGGGTGAATATTCCAGATACTCACATTCATTAGATAACTGACATATAGATCAGTGAGCCATTCTTATACTGTCTTATGAAAAAAAAAGTAGATTTGGGATTTCCTTTAAAAGCGTATGAGAGATGCCCACCTGATTTTGTTTTCCATAATATGGAAACTCATTTTGTGTAACAGTCAAATGCTAAGTATTGATCACAAGCCAAGAGTATGTGCAAGTGTGAGGTGGAAGGTGTCCATGCCCCCCCCCCCCCCCCGGAGAGCATGTCCCTTGCTCTTCTACCTGCCTGGTTTTGCACTAAGCATGTGTCCCCGTTGCAGCTGATTGGTGATGGCAGTGTGGTCTGCGCAGAAGCCCTGTGGGACCACGTGACCATGGATGACCAGGAACTGGGCTTCAAGGCAGGAGATGTCATCCAGGTTCTGGAAGCCTCTAACAAGGACTGGTGGTGGGGCCGGAATGAGGACAAGGAAGCCTGGTTCCCCGCAAGCTTTGTCAGAGTAAGTTTGGGGCGCTTACAAACCCTTCTCATGACGGTCTGTGGAGGAGCGGTAGAATCATGGTGTCAGGCTCAAGCCCACTCAATCAGTACAGGTTCAGTTCTTTGTAATCATTTAAACGAAAGCTTTCGAAATTAGACTGGATTGAAGGAAACATTTCAGCCACGGTCAGCTGGTTGTTTGGCATTGCTGCCATGGTTGGAGCCACTGGCCCAGCCGTGGCTCTGCCGAGTACATAAAGACTTAGCCTTGGGCCAGGCTGTCTTCCTCACAGCCTGGAGAAGTGGAAACCTGGGGGGCCTTTCGCCTGCTTCTGGTACCGCCTTCCCCCCAAGTCACTTGTCACCTGTATGTGGCCCACAGTTGCGTGTCAATCAGGAAGAACTGTCAGAGAATTCCAGCAGCACCCAGGGCGAGGAGCAGGAGGATGCCGGCAAGAACCGCCACAAACACTCGGAGAGCAAGCACCAGATGAGGACCAATGTCATCCAGGAGATCATGAACACTGAGCGGGTATACATCAAGCACCTCAAGGACATCTGTGAGGTGAGACCCCAGGCCCTGTGGCCTGCCCACCGTGGTCTTCAGTCAGACCTTCATTTTATATACTTTTTTGAAGTCTTCCCTTCTCCTTGCCCCTTTCTGCCCATGTGGTCCCTGCACAGACTCCACCCTCATTAAATACTTGTCTGCCCTGGTGAGCATCAGTGGCTCTCTGTTGTAGTCAGTTTTCTTTTCTGGGCACTATGCAACTATCTCTCTTGAGGACTGACCTCCCGAGGTTATTCAGAGTGAACGACTTTCAGAGGAGGCAACACCCTTTCAGGGAAACCCACGTGATTTTAAAGGTCTGTCACTGTTTACAATCCCACTACATCTAATCACTGACTCACAGATTAGGTTCTGAGTCATGTAGATGCAGACCAAAAAAAAAAAAAAGAAAAATCGGTTTTACTCAGTGACATCCAAGGCCATGTTCTGCAGTGTCATGGTATTCTGTGCGGTAAATTCTATTTCTCCCGTGATATTCTTTGTCTCTGTGGGTTCTGTATGAGCCTGACACTACACTGGTGTTGGCCCTGTCTCCTCATTCTGCTGTCCTGTCTGTGAATGCTGAGTTCTGCACTCTCAGCTCAGCTGCAGACATTCAGCGCTGAAGACAAGCTGAAGCGAGACAAGTGCCCATTTTGGAATCAGATTAACTGGCCCCATAAAGATTGAGCGATGTTTAACTTATTGATGCTAACCATCTTGTTCCATGTAAGTGTCTAGTTAAGGGAGTTTCTTTAAGTGCCATTTTAGGAAAATAAGTCATGGCTGATGATTGTTGAGCTTTGACTTTGTGCCATCCCTCAACCTGGATTAACTTCTACAAATGCTCTCATCAGCTGGTCCTATTACCACCACCACCACCCCCATTACAGATGAGGGAACTGAGGTACATAGCAGGTAAAGTGGTGGGGTTGGGATTGAAACCAGTATCCCTTAGAGCCTGTATTTTGAACCTTTACATTGTCTTTCTGTTAAAGTTCATACCAAATAGTCAGTGGTATGTATTTTATCAGCCAGTCCACTTAGGCTGTGTAATTACAAGATGCTGATGGGCGGATAAGTATTACACATATTTATGGCCTTTCCTTCCTTCCCACCACACTAACTCCTACCCCAGCCATAATACAACTAGGGTGTTATACATGGAGAATGAATAGTACTCTAATCCGTGCAGGCCTTGGATTAAAGATCTGCAGCTTTATGCTCTATATAGAAAGTAGGTGATGGTGGAATCCTTGGGTAAGATCTTCTTGGCTCTTTGCCGTGACACTGAGCTGGCTGCATGAGCTGTTCAGCAAGCTGTGGCCTTCTGTATTCGACAGGTCTTCTCAGCTGTGAAATGAAATTAGGGATGGGAGAATGATTATCTTAAGAGTTTAGAAAAAAGTGTGACAGTCCCAATGTTGGAGCTTTAATATTTGAAACCAAGCAACTTTGTTTCAGGAGCATAATCTGAAAACTTTATTATATAGTTTCTTGCTTTACACATCCAGCCACATGCAACTGTTCTCTTCCCTTTTGTTTTTAAAATATTCATAGCACCCTGGAGTCATGGAGGTATGTTTATCCCAACAGGGACCCGTAGGGTTAAAATAATTTTCTTTCATTAAAATCCCTTCCAAGATAATGGCTTTGGGCCCCCAAAGCTATATTATTCAAATAAATAATTTCCGTGACTCTGCAGATTAATTTTTAAAAGTTTACTTTGCTGTTTTGCAGGGCTATATTCGACAGTGTCGCAAGCACACAGGAATGTTCACTGTTGCACAATTAGCCACCATTTTTGGAAACATTGAAGATATTTACAAATTCCAAAGAAAGTTCCTGAAAGACCTTGAGAAACAATACAATAAAGAGGAACCTCATTTAAGTGAAATAGGATCTTGCTTTCTTCAACATGTATGTCACCTGTTCCTTCTTATTAATATAACATCCGGTTAAATAATTTTGAAATGTTTCTCCACTCTAGAAAGGAGTCCTTCTTGTTCTGTTTTGTTTCTTGCTTTGTTTGCTGGATTAATCTCCTAGGGAATGGAGATGTCAGCTGTAAATTTAGTTGCTTGGCTTATATGGTTAGTCTTTACCTAAATACCTCCAGATTTCAAAATCTTCCCACTTTTATGGAGCTTTGAGGGTTTTAGGAGGTTGTGTTTGGAGTAATTTCTCATAATACCTATTAAGGGACTATTGTATGTTAAACAGTGTTTTCAGGGTTTGCTTATATTAGCTGGGGTACCGCTACGGAGAAGGTATGATTATTTTCCCCATTTTCCCCATGCAGAAACTATAGCCAGAGAGTACCTGACGCAAGGTCACACCTGAGTAAGGGGCAGGTGTGGATTCAGACCGAGGTGTGTGGCTCTGGGACCCCTGCTTGGGGCGCCAAGAGTGCCTCAGAACAGTCTTGTGATCATGGCGAGCTTATAACTGGGGAGCAACTGCCCGTGTTTGATACTAAGAGATTTCAGAGGAAGGAGACTTTATTCCCAGCCCAGTGGGTGTAAGCATTGGAATAGTAACAGCAGTGAGGACAGCTCCCTCCTCAGGTGGTGGTACTGACCGCAGTGACCACACAGAGGCGGTAGAAGCCAAGCGGATCCTCCCGAGTGGGTTAATTTTGAACAGCTGAAAATAATGCTGTGGTGGCCGCACCGGTAGGAAGGTCAGCCCCACGCCCGGGCCTGTTTGGCCAGAGCAGAAGGTTCCAAGAGAGAGGCTTCAGAGGTCAGCGAAGGTCAGGCTGCAGGGGGGCAGGGCCTGGGGAAGGTGGAACCTCTGGATTGTGTGGGCCTTGCGGGCCCTGGACCACCGGAGAGTCTAGCTGAGGGACGAGGTGTGGCTGCTGCGATCCGGGCAGAGGAGGCCGGGGTAGGGGTGGCTGCAGTGGGCATGCGGAAGGACAGCGATGTTGGCGTGGGAATTTTTGAGAACCAGCTGACGAAACTCGTCTTGGGGAACATCAAAAAGTGGCAGTCAGAACCGCCTGCAGGTTGTTGGGTCTCAAAGAATTGATGGGTGGGTTAGGAGAACCTGTCTTGTAGGGAAGTAGGAGTCTGGTGGGAGACATGTCCTGTTGAGCATGGATAAGGACAAACCGTGGGGCGGGCGCAGATTGCAGGGCCCACAGCCGTGGGCAGGGGAGATGACTGTGAACTGGCAGCCCGGCCGCCACGGAAGCCAGGGGAAGCCCAGGCCGCGGGCACAGGGCTGGCAGGGCGGCGGCAGCCTGCGAGCGAGAAGCGGAGGAGAAAGGAAGTGGGCCGGGGCTTTAGATCGGACATCAGAGGGGACAGCGTGGGGCAACCAGGTGGTAGGATGTTACAGAGGGGCGCAGTGAGGGGAGCAGGTGGTGGCTTCGAATGCTCACTTCTTGGTCATGGGCACGACCACGTCTGTCAGAGGACAACGGGGAGAGAGTTGGATTTGTGCCTAGTGCCTGCCTTTTCCTTTAGAGCAGGGCTAGGGTGGACACGGTGGTGGCAGCGGGTGCCGCTCTCCCAGGGAAGCCCCGTGCGACTTTTGGGGTACACGGAAGGGGCCTTCGAGTGGGACCAGGGCGCCGAGTCCTAGAGCCGCCACCCCGCAAAGACAGCCCCACCCTCCTTCCAGCCACTCCCCGCCCCCCCCCCAGAAGACGTCATGGCCCAATGCCCGCCCATAACCTGACGCCGCTGCGCTTCCCTTCCCAGCAAGAGGGCTTTGCCATCTATTCCGAGTACTGTAACAACCATCCGGGCGCCTGCGCCGAGCTGTCCAACCTGATGAAGCAGGGTAGGTACAGACACTTCTTTGAAGCTTGCCGCCTGCTCCAGCAGATGATCGACATCGCCATCGACGGCTTCCTGCTCACCCCAGTGCAGAAGATCTGCAAGTACCCCCTGCAGCTGGCCGAGCTGCTCAAGTACACCACGCAGGAGCACAGGTGAGGGCGGAAGCGATGTGGCCTCTCTCAGCCCCGCGCCCTGGCTCTCCCGGGCGGCACTCAGGGCTGTGCGGAGCGGTGGCGGCAGGTGGGCTTAGGTGTCCTCATGACACTCTTGGTTAGCGTCATGGAAGAAATTGTCACCTTGCTTAGAATGTTCAAGATTATGAGGTCTTGAAACGGGGTCATTGAAGAGGCTCCAGAATATCCATTCCTAAAGATACTAAAAGATTAAGAATACTCTTAAACTGTGTCATGAGCACACAGGGATTTGTATTGTACTATTGGTCCTTAAAACTGGTGTCTGATCCTCTTTTGTAGCTACTCTGTAGTTAAAAGAACAATTTTTAAAAGACACCAGTAGGAATAGAGTTTCAGAAATACTTTGCTTCCTCATCCTCTGGCTGCTCACCCTCAGAGCAGTATCATGTATTACAACAAAAAGTTACTTTATAGAAGGGTGAGGACTACCAAAATTTAAACTTCTGAGAGTGGGGGGGAATCTCAAGGATACATAGTGAATGGTTAGCTTGGAGAAGCATCCCACTGAGGTATCCTGCTGAGGTCCTGTTCAGCTCTAAGCCCTTTCTTTTATTAAAGATTTATTTATTTTAAAGAAAGAGAGAGGGAGAGAGCACGCGTGGAGCAGGAGGAAGGGCAGAGGGAGAGAGAGAGAGAGAGAATCTCCAAGCAGACTCTGCTGAGCACAGAGCCCAACACTGGGCTTGATCTCACAACCCTGAGACCATGACCTGAGTTGGACACTCAACTGACTGAGCCACCCAAGTGCCCCTAAGACTTTTCTTGCCCAACCTGGGTGCTTGCTTCATCTCCACGATCTGTTCCGCCCCATCGCCTTGTGCTTGGAGCATGGGGCTTCTCATCATGGTTACCCGGATGCTCCATTTCCTTGTGGGACTTGCTTTGTCCTTAACTGAGTTCTTCTAGGGGCAAAAGTTATCCATTGCTTAGTTAATAACAACTCCCTGTTTCCCTGCATGTGCAGAATAATGTATAACCATGCTGTGGTTTTTTGTAAGATCTCACCCATTCAGTGTTGGAATGGGCATGCCATCCTATGCCATTCCCCGAGATGTGCAGGTCCCAACTGTGTGGTGCCTTTAGCTGGCACTGGTTGGGTCATTGCTGTGTTCTCACCAGGCCAGAACCAGAATGCCAGTGGGCAAGGTTTTAGGATAAAGCTTACTGTTTTAGGTAAGAACCAGACTTCAGAACCAGACTTCACCCGTGACATCCATGTCACTGGTACAGAGCTTTCAGTGCGCCTGCAGCCCTTGAACGGACGATCTTGAGAGGTTCTAGTATTGGGGGTGGGGGTGGGGACAGGGTTGTACCCAGAGAAAATTTGCTGTGCCAAACCACAACAGTTGTGGGTTTTAACAGCTAAGTGTCACCCTGAGAGCAGTCAGATTATCCATGGCAGCGCCTGGCCCTGCAGGGTGTGCAGAACGGAGCTTTCTTTCATTCTGTCTGCTGCCGGACTCCTGTGGAGACACGGGGCTTGCAAATTTTTGCAATTAGAGTGGAAGCTGGAAGGAAAAAAAGAGCTAGGTTGCTAAACAGTAGAACCTAGATGTGGATGTTCATTTAAAAAATTAAGATTAAAGGAATAAGAGAAAGGAGTTCATTGAAATAGATAAAAGGGAAGAGAGCTATATACATACTTTTTTTTTTCTGATGTAAAAATCAGAAAACTTGAGTGCAAGGAAAATAGCAAAGTCAGGAGAGCCACAAATTTGCAGAAAATGTTAAAGAATAAAAACACACGATGATGAGGAGGTTGAGAAAACATGTAAGAGAATAAGAAGCAGAGACATCTTGACAGATGGGGTACATTCCAAGCAGATTGGTACATTCCAAGATGGGCAAGGTATGACCAAGAGTCTATACATCATCCTTCAGCAGTTAATTTTTCTCTTTGAAGGGCATTTTTCACTATGAGGCATTTGCATACTTTGGCTATTCCCGCCCCCCCAAAATCCTTTTAAAGGAAATGACAGCCCATTTCCTTGTCTTCATGAAAACAAAACAATTTTTTTTTTCCAAAAAACCATTATACTCTGCCTCTTTCCTAGAACTGACAGAAAATCTCATAGGAAAAATGTACAATTATTTTGTACACTTTCTTCATTGCTGGAGGCCTGGGGTGACTGGTTGCTCCATTATTTGGACAGTCCCCTTGTGTCCGTTTTGTTCTTCCTTTGTGCTCTGCTGCTGAGTGTGAATAGGCCTGTCTAGAGGCAGCAGGGTCTGCCTTGTGGGGGAATGCCCAGGGACTTCCCAGGGGCTGAGTTACTTGTGTTTGGTAAATAGACAATAGAATCTGCTTCCAAGGCTTTCTTTCCTTGCTATGCAGGAGGATCTAATTTGGTGCTACTGAGATCCAAAGGCTCTGTCTATCTCATAAGACACAAGAAAGTGCTGGAAAGTAAAGAATTCAGCTCATTAGTTAGATGATTGGTTTACACGTCCCCAAATTATTAACGCTGAGCAAAACCTGAATGTCAAACTTTCCAGTACAAGCCACGCTCTGCTCTAGTCTGTGTGGCGATTAGAACTGTAGTTTGTTTTCCTGGTACCTACAGTTCTAGAGGCCAACTCACCACTTCAGGCCTCTGTGGCTTGTGTCCTCTCTGTGTCCCTTTCTTGAACATCTTAGAAGAGGAGACTCAGAATGAATAATTACTCTTGGGAATGGTTAGTGATTATTAAAGTACTTTATATAGCAAAACTGGCTGTCTGAGAACCAAAACAGTCATAAAGACTGTCCTTTCTTTATTAGTGAAAATAATCCATTGTCACTGTGACTAAAACTTATTTCTTGTGGCCTTTACTTTCATTCATTGTGATTTCTGGGAAATGAATGAAAACATTCTTATTCCAAAGAATTCTGGATTGCATTCAGTCAGTTCCCCTAACCTATGGAGACTGTGGTCTATTCATGGAGGAACGAGAAAAAGGAAACAATGGCCATTATTTAAATGCTACTTTATCTAGACTATCAGTATACAAAATCCAGGATGGAATGTATTACTTTGTCGGTCCTGCTTTGTGAGTTTCAGGTTATATGGTTAAAATGAACCTCCTACTTTACAGTGACTACAACAACATAAAGGCAGCCTATGAAGCCATGAAGAACGTAGCCTGTCTGATCAATGAGCGCAAGCGCAGGCTGGAAAGCATAGACAAGATAGCGCGGTGGCAGGTGTCCATCGTCGGCTGGGAGGTAAGTGAGCACCCCTTCCTGCAGCTGCCCGCCGCCCGGCACTGTTCATGCCCTCCCTCACTCTGGTCCAGTTGGATGACATACTGTGACATCCTGTCATTGATAGGTTATATTCTTGGCTTTAATGGTATATATATTTTGAAGCAGGTGGTTGAACTTAACAGTCAGCTACTTTACCAGTAACTCACTTCCACTAAAAAATCAACTCTGAAGAGTGTCTGTAATTAATTTATTGTTTACGCTCTGTCTCTCCTGCTAGAAAGTACGCTCCATCAGAGCAACTAGAGAACATTTTTAAAGTATTATTTATTTGACAGTGAGAACGAGTTGGGGGTGGGGAAAGGCAGAGGCAATTTTTTTTTAAAATTATTTATTTATTTATTTGAGAGAGACGGAGAGAGAGCACATGAGAGGGGGGAGGGTCAGAGGGAGAAGCAGACTCCCCGCTGAGCAGGGAGCCCGATGCGGGACCCGATCCCGGGACTCCAGGATCATGACCCGAGCCGAAGGCAGTCGCTCAACCAACTGAGCCACCCAGGCGCCCCGGGAGAGAGTCTTAAACAGACTTTGATCTGAATGCGGAGCAGGACGTGGGGCTCGATCTCATGACCCTGAGATCACGACCTGAGGCGAAACCAAGGGTTGGACCCTTAACTGACTGTGCCACCCAGGAGCCCCTGGAGAACATTTAAAATACAAACAGTGTGGTAGGAGTATGGACTCTGGACTCACACTGCCTGTGTTTGAATTGGGTATGATCTGGGCAAGATTAAGATTTTCATCCTTAAGATGGGGTTGAAAATATTAGCTATACCCATAGAGCTCTAATGAGGATTATATAAGACGGTGGCAAATGCAGTGCTTGGCTCGAGCTGTCATGATGGTCCTGCGTGCATATGTGCGCACACATGCACAAACATTTATTTATAAAAACAACGCTGATTGTGTTTACCCCATGCCTGGCACTGGTCTAAGCCATTTTTATATGTGAACTCATTGAATCCTCTCAATAATCCTATGAGGTAGGAGCTACTGTTACCCCCATTTAACAGATAGGGAAATGGAAACATGGCAAGATTAAGTGGCTTGCTCGAACAACTAATGTTGTTCTGATTTTTTTCAGACCAAGCACAATTCATCGTACATTAAACTAATTGGTCCAAAAAACTCACTGTCCCTAAGGATTAAGAGAGTTTGGATTGAGAAGTTAGGTTTTTAACTAAAGTAGGTTACAGCAGTGAACATTGGAAAGAAATACTTCTATTTCAGGGGCCGTAGAGCCTTCTGGAGCTTGGATGGGCCCTTAGACATCACTGTGTTTAACTCTCTTACTTTGTAAGTGAAGAATCTGGGGCACAGAATTGCTCTAGGCAAGCAAGTAGAAGAACTCTTTTGGAGTCAAGCTTTTTTGCCTCCACAAAATACTGTGTATGACTAGGATTGAAGGAGGATAAAACCTTATAAATCAAAGGCCAGTGTTGTACCAAATACCACACAGTTCCATTGGGTTAGACCCAACCTAATACTGTAAAGATGTGTTTTTTCCTTGGGTTCTTGGACTGTAACATTTAGGGGATAATTTATTGTCAGTAGTTTACCGATACCTTCCTGGCAATTTGCTCTCTGGTCTTTTGTTTCCAAGATCCTAAGCTAGTTGTTACTCTGGGAGCCGCTATACGTACCAGACTCGAAAGCCAGAGCCCCAGAGCCTGTAGCATTAAGTGCCCCCTGTAGAAAGCCTCCTTGGCGTCCTTATTCTCCGGGGAGCAGCCATCCAGACTGATTGGAGCCCACTCATCCAGCACGTTTATCACCAGTCCTTCCTTCCTTGTAAGGAAGGCCCTTTGGATGACACAGAGGCACTGTAACATTTTCCCAAAGGGTAGGAAATAAAAGAAGTTTCCCACACAAGGAGATGAACCACCCGAGGTGTAAGTGGCCTTTTTTAGCCCTGCTGAACTGTGACCGGACCTCCTGTAACTGGAAAGTGGGAGAAAGACTGTGTGTCAGGACTTGTTCTTGTATCCGTGACACATTCTCAAGGAATCCAAATGGGAAGGTCTTTAAATGTGTGTCCATCCTTGCAGGGGCTGGATATCCTAGACCGAAGTTCCGAACTGATCCATTCTGGGGAGCTGACCAAAATCACCAAGCACGGCAAGAGCCAGCAGCGGACGTTCTTCCTGTTTGACCACCAGCTGGTGTCCTGCAAGAAGGACCTGCTGCGCAGGGACGTGCTCTACTACAGAGGCCGCACGGACATGGATGAGGTGCAGCTCGTGGACCTGGAGGACGGACGGGACAAGGACTGGAACCTCAACGTGAAGAACGCTTTCAAGCTCGTCAGCAAAACCACTGACGAAGTTCATCTGTTTTGTGCCAAAAAGCAGGAGGACAAGGCGCGGTGGCTGCAGGCCTGCGGGGATGAGAGGCGGCGCGTGCAGGAGGACCGCGAGATGGGTGAGCAGCGCCTCCGCCTTCCAGCCCCGGAGGCCAGCCCCCTCCCAGAGTGAAATGGCCCCCCGGCAAAAAGAAGCAGGATCCGCAAATCCCAAATACAGCTGACCCTTGAACAACGCGGGGGGTTGGGGCGCCGACCCCCCCCCCCCCCCCCCGCGCCACGGTCAGAAATCCAAGTGTAACTCTGGACTCTCCCAGAACTTAACTCTCCTAGCCCACTGTTGACCGGAAGCCTTACTGATAACACAGTCCATTAACACACATCTGTGTTATATGCATTATATGCTCTCTTCTTACAACAAAGTCAGCTAGGGGAAAATGTTAAGAAAATCTTAAGGAAAAGGAAATGCATTTACAGCACTGCCTTGTATTTATCAAGAAGACCCCACGTATAAGTGGACCCACACCGTCCCACCCCATGTTGCTCAAGGGTCAGCTGTGCTTCTAAGCCTGCTGCGGGACAGGCCTGGCAGCTCGAGTTCCTACGGGCGGCGTTCAGTCGGCGTCTGCACATTGGTGCTCGCAGTGCCCCACGGCACCCGTTAACACGTCCTGCTTAGGAGGATGTCATCCTAGCGTCTGTCCTGGTGACAGTCCTTGCTCCTTCTCCATTTGTAATCTTTTCAACCTCTTACAGTTCCTCGGGGAGTAAGGTTCTTTGCTGTGGGTTATGTTAAACACCTCAGGGTTAATACGGGTTCTGGTTCTGGTTTTACTCTGTAATGGTGTTACTTGTTTGTTTGTTTTCATTTTATTTAAATTCAGTTAATTAACATATAGTGTATTATTAGTTTCAGAGGTAGAGTTCAGTGATTGATCCGTTGCATAGAACACCCAGTGCTCATTACATCACGTGCCCTCCTTAATGCCCATCACCCTGTTACCCCATCCCCTACCCCCTCCCCTCCAGCAGCCCTCAGTTTGTTTCCTATGGTTAAGAGTCTCATATAGTTTATCTCCCTCTCTGATTTCATCTTATTTTATTTTTCCCTCCCTTCCCCTATGATCCTGTTTTGTTTCTTAAATTCCACATTTGAGTGAAATCATGTAACTGTCTTCCTCTGATTGACTTATTTCACCTGTTTTGAATGTTTCTCATGTCTGTTCCTAAATCCAGGAATGGAAATTTCAGAAAATCAAAAGAAACTCGCCATGTTAAATGCTCAAAAGGCAGGACACGGAAAGTCAAAAGGTAAGTTTTGAAGAAGGCTTCATCTCCTTATCTCCTTCATGTGTATCAGTATGGGAATTAAAACCACGAATGTCTGAGGTCGTCAGTGCACTGATGACCAGCTCTCAACAACGGAGAGACATACAGGTGAAACTCAAAATGATAGACACTCCCCCACCCCCCGCAAACGGGTGGTTTAGAATAATCTGCATTTGGTTTTGAGTGTGAGTATGCTTCAGTATTTGCTGACATTTGAACATGAGCCTGTAAGATGTGTTTTGAATTGGCACCAAAGAGCTTCTGCACCTCCCCATCCTGAGGTTGTGCTGGCGTTCTTCCTCCGGCCAACCAGTTCAGCGGTCTGAGGCAAACCAGCAGCTCCTGCGTGTCTTGGGCACGCATGGAGGAAATCTCCAGCCCCAAACTCCTTATCAGCGCAGGCTGCATTCTAGTGTAGGTAAGAAAAGTCTAAAAATCCGGTACATCGAGAAATGAGCTGAAAAGAAGACACACTAGCTTATTTAGAGCAAGGACTCCCTACCCTCTGTGCACATTAGAATTGCCTGAGCAGCTACTGAAGATGACCAATACTCAGGTCATGCCCCATCGTCCTGATGCGCAAAGATTTTTTTACGGTGCCGATAATACCCCTGATGTCACCCAACAGGAATAAAATAATAAGGATTTTTATTCCAAAAATATTTGTTATATTCTTAGAACCTTTTTTTCAGATTGACTTCCCTACTCTTAAGAACAATTTATCCTCTGAAATGTGTCCCATTCAGGATTTTCATAACTGAAAGTGCAAAAGGAAGACCCAGTTAAGCCCAGGATGGTGATGTGCCATCAGCTGAGGGCCAAGAAGAATTCATTACCGAAACAACCCTTAGCATTCCCATTTCCCTGTTCCCTCCGCTCAAAGGCAGAATTCCTACCACCCCCCCAGCACGAAGTGATAAATACCTTTGAAGAGAAAAAAACCCTGTCTTGTTCTTTTTTTGAATCTCCACTTCAATGGCAGGTGACCAGTAAATATCCATTTGTTAGAAGGTAGTAGTTTGTGTCCGCATCTTCCAGGAGTCACTGGCTCAGCAACTAGGCACCCAAATGGAAAGAACGCAGGTGGTGGTGGGTGGTCCCGTGCCAGGCACCTCTCACCGGGAAAGGCCAGGAGAGCCTTGTGGCAGATCGGGGCCAGGATGCCTTCTGAACTGAGTCCTGGCTCCTTCTAAGACCCATGCTCCTTCCTCCTTTCACTCGTTCACAGTTAGCTTGTGATCCTGGAGCTCATTGTGCTAGGCTTTTCTCATTACCTCTGTGCAGATTTAAAATGCCTATTCCAATGAAACCGTTTCGATTAATCATTCTCAGCACGTTCCTAGCTCCCTTCATTCTCACAGCAACTGGTAGGTGCTGTTATGATGGCTTCTAGATGTACTTTGCGTTCATATGAATTAAGGATCAAGTTAAGAACTCAAGTCTTCCTTTTCGGCTAACAAGTGACGCTGGGTCCATGTTCCACCCTTCTCCCCTCTTGAGTTAGGCTACAGCGGATGCCCTGTGGCCCCGCCGCACCAGAGCCTGCACCCCCTTCACCAGCGCCACGTCACCGTGCCCACCAGCGTCCCCCAGCAGCAGGTATTTGCCCTGGCTGAGCCCAAGAGGAAGCCATCGCTCTTCTGGCACACGTTCAACAAACTCACCCCTTTCAAGAAATGAAAACGGGAGGTCATGCGTTGGCTGAGGTGTCTGTAAAGAGGAGAACCATTTCTGTGTGCTCAACCCAGTGCTGAAAACTTCCTTTGGGGATCGGTGAAGAATAGAAGGTCTGGGACGAGACCAAGGTGCCTCTGAAGACCCAGCTCCTTGGAAGGGAGACGGAGGTCATGACGCACGGCCCTGACGTCCACAAGACCCCTCTGGGACCTGTGCCAAGGTGGCTGGGCCGCGGGAGCCAGTGACTTGCTCTGCAGTGAAGCCGAGCAGTGACCCCAGTGGGCATCGCTGATGACGGGCGCGCTCCCTGCTGCCGTTCCTGAGGAGGGCCTCGATTGCAGTGCCACTTTGGCATGTGGATTTCCAGGGGACGGTCGTGATGGGGTTGGTACGGTAGCGTCTCACCAGCACGGGCAAGCTGTAGCTGTCTTCCACAGTATTAGGTGAAGTAGCGCTGCAGAGCAGATGGCCGTGGTGTCCCCTGGTGTCGTCTGAATTGTTACCAAGTGGTAGTGCCGGCTTCCTCTGGTGAGGTGTGTCCCGGACAGGCTAGAGGGAGAAGTGTGATGAATCCCTCCCGTGGAACACGGTCCGGGCGACTTCAGCATCCTGAGGAGGCAGCTGCTTTCCAGGGAGAAAGTGCAAAACCCTACCACAGGGTGGATTGTCCTTCTCAAGTCAGGTCCCCTCCCGCTGGTGTGTGTGCAGCGCGTGACTCTCCAGGCAGAAATCACACCTACTTGCACGTCATGACCTAAGGAACTAATCAGACCTATGCGTTTGCAATATAAAAATCCATTTACTTAATTTTCTGGTAAGCGAAATACGCACACGCGCCTGTGGAAAGGCATGCTCAGAGCATCAGTCCGTTCTCCCCACCCGTTGTTTCTGGCGTTCCCAGCAATTAAGTTACAGTGACCTGAACATTCCACCCAGAAAACATGTGGTTCCCAGCAGCCCACCTTCCTCAGGATTCGAAGCCGACTTTGTTGCATAAACCCCAAATGGTAGTGCTAACCCCACCCTTATTAACCTGTCAGGAGGGTTCTGAAGGTTCTTTCTTTATTAAGAGACCTTAACAACAGTGCATCTAGACTCGGACATAGCTGTCTTTTTAACGAAGGCCACGTGGGCTGATACGTGGTGATGGTAATCTCCTTCTTTGTCTATATTGTAAATGTTGATGAAAATAACTTTTAAATATGTCTGGAGAAGATAGGTTCTGCAAGGGAGAGGCCATTTAAATGTACTTTGTGCACTGGACGGGGGTATCGTAGTCCACACTTTGGTTTTCTATGTGAGAATCCCCTTCTCGTACACTACTCTCAGAAAGTCCCATTTTCCAATAGGCCCGTGCTGGAGCATAAACAAACCCATAACATCCTAGACAAAGGTAGAACCTGTGCCTCCAAACGTCTGGTTCCTCCTTCCCTCCCCACCTTCCCTCCCGCCCAGGGCCGGTCCCGAAGGAGGTGACATCACGCATCAAGAAGACCTAATGCTGGACGTTGGAGTGGGCCTTAGAGCACTATCTGGAAATGTTTTCCGGTCAGCCTCAGTGATGTACTCACTTGTACGTAGGATGGCTGCAAGGTTGTGCTGCCCTGGGGTCACCGTGATACCCAGTGTCCCAGGATAGAGGTTGCTTCTGTGAGGAAGCTTCCCAGGAGGTACTGTGGCTCTGAGCGTACAAGCGCACGTGTACACGCACATGTTTCTTTTTGGCTAGACCTCTAGATTTTAGTTGCATTTATATAACTGACCTTTTTATTAAGAAGATGTAATGATCTATTTTGAAAACTACACTTAAAATGCTTTTTGTGGACCCCTCAGCAATAATAACTCTAGGAGTCTGTGCTGAACAGAGTTGTTTGTATATACAACAATTTTGAATAGTTTTTTTTAATAATAAGAAAATTAGGGAAGAAAAGAGAACCATTTGCTTATGTTACATTTTCAGTGAGGGTTCAATTCAAGTAAAGAACCACTTAATGGGCTTCCATTTACTAAGGTTTCCTAATGCACAGTGAAGTGCTTTCAGTTCTGTGACCAGTCCCGCTGTATTTCCCACCTGAGCCTGAACTTCGGGTTGCCCCCGGTCCCTCTGGGGACTCGCCAGCAGAAGCAGAAAGCTGGGGCCCGGCGCCGCCCCCGTGAGCTCAGTGCGGTGTAAAGAGTCAGTCGATACAGTACCCACCCTGAATGGGTCCTGCTTGGCCTTTTCTGGTGATTTTGGAAAAATGAGAAATTGTTTAAAATCTATCTAGCTTGAGTTTTATTACCAAATGCATGAGTTTGATAAAGAATAGTGGCTCAAGTATTCGAATTTTAGGTTTGCCCCACTTTCCTTCTTGATGTAAGTCCTGTGTTCCACTTGGAAAGAAGACGAGAGAAACCAAGAGCCCCCAAATGGATTTTGTATGGATTTCATTGGGAATCTTGCTTTTTCCCTTCTTTTTCCTCACTCTAACCCCATATTGCATAATATGGGTGTCCCCACAACACACACACACACACACTCTCTTTCTCTCTCTCTCACAAAGATAGCAAAACACTTTGACAAATCTCACCTAATTTATTATTTATGTTTCAGAATCTGTTGGAAGACAGTTGAAATGGCCTTGGGTCAAAAGCAGCCTTCTTGATTTTCATCATACCTAAAATGCACAACCACCTTGCAGTAAATCATAAACAGTCATAAAATGGAATATTTGTAAAATCTTAGAGAAGTAGCATTCTTCGTCTTTGGCCTGCAAGCAAAAGACTGGCAGCAATGTGCCAGAGCTTTCCTGGGGTCCCTTCTTCCTAGTTTTATTTTCAGTAGATCTCTTTTCCCCAGTAGATCTGATTTTTGTCGTTGAAAACATTTCACCCCCATCTCCACGCTATTTCTGAATATTGTGCCTTTTTATACTTAATCCAGATGAAGACCAACTCCATGCCTGTTCAGAAAATCCCCTCAATCCTACACCGCTGTTGTCTAGACACAAAGCGGAAGTGCATTTAATTCGAACTTTGTTTCACAATAGAAATCTTTTCTAAAAGCCATGGTCCAGCATTTATCTGCTGGAAAACTCTCCATGCCCAAATGGCTGATATTTTTCAGTACACACGAACTTAGTTATGTAGCCAGAATAGAACAGCCTGATTACTTGGAGTTAAGGAGAAAATTGCTGTCTTGTTATTTTATGGAAGAGGGGAGATACAGATGTGTCCCTCACAGGACAGTACTAACAAGTGTGGATACATGTCCTTCCGATGGCTGACAGGCCAGGGACGCTGGGCACAAATCAGCTGGGTCAAACTGCTCAAAAACATTGGTCCCTATAAGCTTAACGTACACATGTTCTCATTAAAATTCCACTTGGCTAACGCTGTTATTCTCAGGATGCATGCAGTGAAAGTAGAGATCAAACAGTTTTGAGAAGAATAAGTAGCAACTATCTGATCTTAAAAGGAAAAACCCAGAAGCTTACATATTTGATGCAAATGTTTTTAGTTACAACACACTTAACGTTATTGTCCTTAGTTATTATCTCCTAGGCATTGACATTTGTATTTAGAAAATACTTTTAACGGATTCTGTAATTTAATAATTGGTCTTTTTTGTAAATATTAGCATCGGTTGTGTTTGACTTACCTCTTTTGCAGGCTTTTAGTAACCTTTTCCTTGAATTTAACGCAACATCAAGACAATGTTAAGTCACGTGACAGCTTCCAAACTGATGAATTTGCTGTTGACAGCTGAAGTATGTTGTACAAGACTGCTATAACTTGACCTGTATTTCTGTTGAATGAAGTTTTGTAAAAAAAAAATATTATTTACAATGTTATTTGAATGATTTCTTGTAAATGCTGTGAATCTATATTTGTTGTTTTGTATCTGTATATTAAAGTTAATTTGCCAAACTGGTTCCAGTAATGCATCTGAGTAGTAAGATAAGACATATATATGCATATATTTTAAGTAGAGAGCAAGTGTTAGGCGGGTTTCTGGTACTTAGAGCTCATTTCCTGTCGACATCGATAGACTTCTTCTCAGTAAAAATTCATCCATTGGTGAGCAGGCTTAAGCCACTAGATAGGTATGGGAGAAAGGGCTTCCAGGGGAACAGGGAGGAGCCACTTGCCTGAAAAAAGTCACCACAGGTTGCATAAAGCCAAACCCAGAGTGCTACGGCCTGCTTGCTCTCTGGCTCCTGATGGTGGACCGTAGATGAACCGCGCGTGCCTTTATATACACTTTCCATTTCAGAGCTGCTACCGGGTGGGGATGAGGCTGCTTCACCGGGACGGCTGCTGCTTACCCTTTGGGGGCAGGGAACGTACGAATTTCCTTCTCTAATTAACAGCTAGAGAAGTTAAGTAAATAGCCCATTGTTTGCTGTGACTGTAATCAGAAAAGTATTCCTATGAAGGTTGCCAAGCCACGAGTCCCCGAGTCCCCACTGTTTGTTTACTCTCAACATCCACCTACTTCCCAAACTGATCTGCTCCCCCTCCTTGGGCTGCACTGGGAGAGGGGGTTGGCTTAGGGGTGGGGTGGGGGAGCACTGGGAACCTGAAAGCCTGCCTGTCCAGGGTAGCTTCCAGGGACCAAGCTGGTGCGCTATGGAGGAAGGGGTGAAAAGAGGGTAGTGAAACTTTCTAGAAGAGCTGAGGGGGAGAGGGCCTCACATGACAGCCACCTGCCCTGTGCATTCGGGAGGCAAGCTGAAATGGGTAATCCTCCAGAGGAGCACGTGGTCAGAGAGGGAGGCAGGCACAGAAAGGTGTGATGAAAATTCAGCGTGGATTATGCACCACTAGGGGTGTGTTCAAGTTACGGCCTATAGCCTTCGAGGAGCTGAGTCCTCTCATCTGGTGTCAGGGCAGGAAGGTGGCCCAGGAGGCATCCTGGAGGGCTAACCCAGCACAGCAGGGCCCCTGCGTGTGTTGCTTGAATCAACATGCCACGAGGTGCGTGAGAAGCCACAGTGGTGGAAGCTGGATCCCGAAGGGCCTGCCAAC